CCCAATCAAGAATGGCCCCAGAACAATCCACACTAGTAGTGAGAAGCAAGACAGGTGGGAAATCCCCACAGACCGGAGACAACCACACAGTGCACGACCGAATAAGGGGAAACCAAGTGGGAATGGGAGTGCATGCCTGGGGTATTTCCCCTAGAACTCAGAAGAGTGCATAGATGGGGTATTTCCCCTAAAAGAGGGCACAAATGGGGGTATTTCCTCTAGAAGTGTGCATAGGTGGGGTATTTCCTGTAGAAACAGAAAGCTGTGATCAACGACGGGGAGGGGGTAAGTTCTCCCCGACTGGGGTAGGGGCTTGGGGTAGGGGGGGGGGGGGGGTGGAGGAGGAGGGTGCACCTACCTCACTAGTCCAGCTATACCAGGCAGTCGGCGAGGCAGCCACGGCAAGGATGGGCAGCGTCGGGGCCTCCATCCAGACTTCCACGTCGAACACGAGCACTTTCTCGTCCGGGAACGGCACGGGCTTGCCCTGCGGACACTGCGCGGAGTACCGGCACCAGCCGGGCGTGAACTGCCACTTCGTCGGCATACCTGGCAGCGATTCAACTCCCATCAACGCATCCGCATACTGGAGATAGGGCTGACACTGCCGTCGGCCAATCTCCCTGAAGTGCTCCGCCACGTCGCTTCCCAGCAGCTGAGGCATCTCAAACTCCGGGCACTCCTGCGTCTCGGATTTCAGCGACAGATTGTACTTCTCTATGAGCTCCTTGCGAGCGTGCAGCGCTGCGACGGGATCCGGCGAGGTTGTCCCCGACGATCGCTCGCCGAATATAGGCTTGCGGAGCTCGTCGGGGAGCATTTGGATACCGAACAGGTTGTGTCGGGTATTTTTGCCTCCCGACTCCGGGCTTGCTTGCTTTTCCGCATTCCCGGATGCACCTTGCTGGCCACTGACCGAGGCATGTTCAGTGCTGCTAGAGGCAGGAGCGAGTCGGTACGTCTTCAACTTTGTACTGGCATGCCTCCGGTTAGCTTGGCAGCGTAATGGCCGAAGAGGAACCAACCTAGAATGCATTCCGAGCCCGGATTTTCTTCACTCTTGTCGTGCGAATGGGATGGCGAGAATATTAATTTCAACGCCAGCTACAGGACAGACTGCAGCAATATGTCATTCAGGAACGAGCAGTGCTGAGCTTGGCTCAACGACGAGAGCAGCCCACCAACATATCCCCATCTGTGCTCTCAATCAGTCTCATGCTGAAATAAGGCGTCCGTCCATTCAATTATTCGCGCACAGCATCACAACGATCGTGTCAATGTTATGGATTGGGAAATAATTGTTCGGATCTTTTTCAAAATGCACAAGAATTTGAAGAAATGATAAACCGTACGAGATCCACACAAAAGCGCTGGGTTACGCCATAGCTGATTCCATGGTAACGGGAACTGCTTACGCATGTACGTGCACGTGCGCGTACACGTGCACTATATATCTAGCACTGCATGCTCTGTTCAAGCACGCACTTGCCACGCGCGGGCCCGGGCCCGCGGCGCCGCGGGCAGACAAAAATTAATGTCAAAAATCTAGAAGTCATGATTGTTTGACTTTGACTTTTTCTTCTCGATGCTTGAAGTTTTCATTGTGCTGCTCAGCGTTGATCATTGCATGCTCACACAGAGGAAAGACTTTCTATTTCCTTGGCTTGGCATAGAAGAAGTTGGAGCGTAAGTCTAAAGACGAGGAGAAACGCATCATGGCGTGCGCCGCAGCTGCAGAAAAGCCACCGCTGTATGTTTCGGACAAAGAAGGCTCCGACGAAAGCGGTGATGGCACAGAAGCGAAGCCTTTCAAGACGACCTTGAAGGTATGGAGCTCCTGTAGTTAGCTTCTATCGCATGCGTGCCGAGAACGACATCCCTATTACATGATGTATTTGTAACTCAATAAGTTCACTGTCGCCAGAAAACCTGCATACCTATCATGATCAGCCATAGGCATCATGCTGATAGCTTCAGCAGCATGACACCCGAAGTACTCTCAGTGTCGTGTAGATCTACGGAGTGACTGATTTCTGAGCATGCACGCTAGATATCAATTGCATGAAAGGTCAAAAGCTCAGCGCCGAATACGTTCTTGGCATATCTGCTACTACCTATTCTGTACGAATACCTGATGTACGCAGAGCAGGGTACATGACAGCAAACGGCCAGAGATTTTTTATGAGCCTGCTTGTTTTTGATCTGTGTGAAGTTGCTGATTTCAATTATGGTGTGGATGTCATTAAATTTATTTGAGTCCCCAGGTCATCTAGCTCCGTGTGCTCAAATGGCACCGAAGTAATGACACTCGCTTTGTGTGATTTCAGTTTACTGTTGAGGTGACTCTAAAGAAGTGCTACAGTAGGCGTAAAGTTCACCGCACTGTACCTTTTAAGCGTTCCAGGCGTGTACACTGCCCATCGTTTGTCAGTATTTCCTAGCACCGTAGTGGCCACCCAACACCACAACGAATACACAACTCTTGCTTGTCTTGCCCGAACATTGTGCAAAAAATCCCAATTTTGCCAAGCACATGTGTACAGTTGACGGTTAGGTCGTCGAAGATCGTTCAGAACTTGCGTCTTCTAGGCAAACGTATGAAGAGGATGGTGTATACTGCTGGTAGTGTCTTGTTTTAGGTGAATGTCCCAGCAGCCGTTTGCAGTGTATAGTGATGGGTAGTGCATGTTTACAAGCGTTTGAGTGGTTGGCAGGCCTCCAGGAACCACCGCTATGTGCACCTGTGTGTTATGTGTGCCCGTCTGAAACCATGCCCATGCTAACTGTGAACCAGCAAGCCTTGCCATTTCCGTCTGCATCCAACAAACCGCGTGATGCTAGTACAGTCAACTTTGCGTATAACGACACTCAGCGGGGCATCAGAAAAGTGTCCTTATTCGCGAAGTGTCCTGATACCCGAAGTCTCATATGTATACAGGTAGAATGGACTTCGTTCTGGGCATGGAAATTCTGTCGCCATTCGCGAATTGTCGTTATATCCGCAGTCGTTATTAGCGAAGTTGACTGTATGCTGAAAGTCCTGCGGTGGGCGAGTGTTCATCACTCCCTTTCAAGTGGACACAGAATGACGGTTCCTAAATCCCCACACCTGTGCCGTGAGGGTGGTTGCGTTCCTACGGATGTTTAAAAGCCGGTCTTTCTGACTCTCACGCCAGCGATGAACTTGATAAATTCTAAGGCCCTGCGTAGTCGATGATCCTTGCCTGAACAGGAAGTAGCAAATTGCAATGTCCCACGTCTGACGGCCGTGTGTATTGACACAATCGCATATGTTGGTGTGCTTCTGTGTGTGTGTGCATGTGTGTGTGTGTGTGCATGTGTGTGTGTGCATGTGTGTGTGTGTGTGCATGTGTGTGTGTGTGTGTGTGTGTGTGTGTGTGTGTGTGTGTGTGTGTGTGTGTGTGTGTGTGTGTGTGTGTGCTCATTGCAGGCTTTACTGCACGCTGACACTGAGCCTTTCCCAGAGGTCCTTGTCGATGGCAAGACGGAAGGCGGTGAGGTAAGAGTACGTGTTTGAGCTGAAGTCGAAAAATACTCATGAAAACAAAACAAAAACGACGGAAACAAAAACTTCGTGACTTGAATCGAGCTATAAGTTCAGGTGAATTGAGCTCTGAGGAATCGAGCGATGGTAACTCCGAGTGAGACTCGAATGGGGATACTAAATTTTCTTTTTTGTAAAATTGCCAACTAGATCATGATGGGACGAAGTAGTCGTGCTCAATGCCAGAGCATGTTCGTGTCACCAGTTGCAGTTTGTTGAGCAGCACATTCTAATGGTTGAGCGTTCTTGTTTTGTTCGTTACCCGTTCGGGTAAAGACCAAGGTAAACCTCTGTGTGGCTGGAGAAAGATGAGAAAAGGCATTAATCATGGCAGGATTGTGTGGCATTGGCCAAGTCACTGGACTCGCAATCTTTCAGGTACTGTAAAGCGATAACCGTTCGCCGCGCGCACATTTTGCGCTGTCATTAATTGGGCTAATTCACGATGAGAAAAGTGTGCGATTGTATCTCTTCAGTTGGACATCGTACTACATTGTACTGTCTACAACCAATGTACAAAGCAGTTTGCGGTGATTTGAATGCGCGATTGTGTGATGGTCGCGAAAATAGCGAAATTTAATCTCTAGCAAAAGCTTCTCACTTTACAGTAACCCCAGCTGTAAAATGTAGAACCTAGCTGAGGCTATGAGGACAGAGTGATGGTGTTGGGTGATGAACAATACTACGTTACGTAGTGGTTATGACTTGTGAGCTCTGAATGGAACACAAGGTCCCGAGTACCTTTGAAGAGTTGGCCCTTCCCAGGGTATCAAGGCAACAGTGGTTATAATACACAGGCCTACAGTGGGGTGGTGTGCCCAATCCGATTACAGCAGTAGCTAGGATTCTTAGTCAAATATTGTTTAGCAGATCCTGAATTCTTGGCCAATGTGCCTGTTTGTCTGTTTGGTTTGTTGTGCATGTACACCCATGTGCTTTTGTGTGTTCTGGTATTTGCAGCGCTGGGAAAAGATCTCTCAAGCTCAGATGAAGAAGCAGACCAAACTATTTAACCAGCAAAAGAAGAAGAACAGTTCTCAGGCTGTCAGGGAGGTAAGACATCGTGGCACACCTCTATGATGGAGTACGGGATACCGTCGGGTGTTCGCTCAGCGTTGTGCCTGTTGCTCGTCGTGTTGATCGTGTGATGTCATCATGAGTATCCAATGAATGCGTGGACACGTGCCTGTGCGTATATGTACGTGTGTGTATGTGTGTGCCCAGCATGAACTGGCTAAGCTTTCGGCTGTTGCTCGCATCAATACCATCCGTATTTGAGTGCCTCGCGGAAGTGTAATTCGCTGTGTGTGGTTGCTGTTCAGGCTGAAAAGGAAGAGCAGCGTCGGAAACGCCTGGAAGAGGCCAAGGCTATCGTCATTGAACAGGATGCATCGTTGCCAACGGCCGTCGAACTGAAGATCCGCGACTTGGAGCCGCACCGTGGCAAGCGTGTCACAGTGCATGGATGGGTGCACCGCCTCAGAAGACAGGGTGAGTAGACCTCCCCTACCCCATCTATGGTTGTGCCATGTCGGTGATCTCTGTTATTCTTATCTGTAGGGCCTCGTGTTCAGCGTGGCAGCGAGGCAGTTGAGAACACTGGCTTCCGGGCCCTGCAATGTGGGTGTTTCTGGTGGGATCATTTCTTGTGGGTTGTGTGTGTGCGTGCGTGTGTGTGTGGTGCGTGGTGCGTGCGTGCATCCCCAGGAAACACTCTGATGTTTGGTATGCTCCGTGATGGAACTGGCCATCTTCAGTGCGTATTCACCGACAAGCTGGTGAGTCTCCTCTTCTTATTTCCTGACCGGCATGTGATCCTACTGGGCTAGTGTATGAGTTCATAATTATTTTCATCTTTGCTTTCCAGCTTGTATGGCTCTGGCTTGCAGGGCCGTTGCTTGCAGGGTCTTGCTTGCACGACTCTTGCTTGTGTGGCTCTTGCTGGAATGGCTCGTGCTGGAATGGCTCATGTTGGAATGGCTCTTGCTGGAATCATCCGAATGGCTCTTGCTTGTGTGGCTCTTGCTGGCAGAACTCTTTCTTGCAGGGCCTTTGCTTGCAGGGCATTTACTTGCAGGGCTCTTGCTTGCCGCACGCAGCTCAAATCTTCTGCGGGTCACTGCGCTATGTGTTGGCCATGAGTAGTTGACAAGCTCCTTGAGATTGTATTGACTGTCTATTGTTTGATTCTTGGAGGTTAGCATGATACAATGTAGTGCATGGCTTTCATTCTCTTTCACTACTGGATCCGCTAAGTGAGGAGATTAAGCACTTCCAAGTACTGTCTGATATTGTTGTTCTGCGCAGCGCAGGCGTCGTGGTAAGCATTGTGTTATACTTGTCATGTGTACTGCTTGTCTCCACTGCCACTCATTGTGTGTGTGTGTGTGTGTGTGTGTGTGTGTGTGTGTGTGTGTGTGTGTGTGTGTGTGTGTGTGTGGGTGTCACTGTGTGTGGGTGTCTGTGTGTGCGTGCATGTTTGTGTGTGCACTTATGCATGCGTGCATGCATGTGTCCATGCGTGCGTTGTGCAGTGCCAAACGTACAACGCAGTCACGCTGTCGACAGAAAGCACGATTGTCGTGTACGGCAGCCTGGAGCAGGTGCCTGAAGGGAAATCTGTAAGTTCACCTCTCCCACACCTCATCTATGGCGTCAGAGCTCTGACTGTCTAACTATGGCATTGTGTGTTAGGATTGGCGTGATCCATAATTGCAATAATTATCTCAACCGCTATTATGTTTGTACTCACTTCTCCTATGCGTGAATGCCGGTATGAGTGACATGTTGCTGTTGCTGTCACTCGCACTATTCTCTCTAGTGTAGTTTCACCCTATATCTTATCACCGAGTGAGCAGTGGGTCAGAAGTTTTCAGAGTACTGGCTGACTAACTTTGGCGTTGTGTAGGCAGGGTGGGTGGGTGTGATCCGGTGGGTGTGATCCACAATTGCGATAATATTATCCCAATGCCCAGTATGATCATACAAGTACTAAGGTTTCCTATGCGTGAAGGCCGGTATGAGTGAAATGTTTCTATTACTGTCACTCGCACTACTCTCTCTCTCTCTAGTATAGTTTCACCCTATATCTTGGCACCAAGTCAGCAGTTGGACAGAGGTTGTGAGTGTTCTGGCTGACTAACGTTGGCCTTGTGTGGGCAGGGTGGGTGGGTGTGATCCGGTGGATGTGACCCACAATTGCAATAATATTAATATTATCCCAATGCCCAGTATGATCGTACTTACGTTTCCTATGCGTGAAGGCCTGTATGACTCTATGACTGACATGTTGTTGTCGCTGTCAGTCACGCTGTTCTCAGTTGTTTCAGCCAATCTTAGCGCCAAGTGACCGGGTGTGATACAAGTTGTGAGCTACTGTTCACCCATTCGACCATATCGTTTGTTGTCAGAGGGGCAACAACGAGGCGCAAGGCTGGCAGAGTGCTGAGACATTCTACGGCCCGACACCAAACTCACGCTCGAGTCTTGAATAATACTACGAGTTATTGTTTTCATTCCTTTGTTTTGAAGAAATAAGCCGGGAAACCTGTGGAGAAAATTTAGCTATCACTACCAATGGCTCGAATCGGAGACCTTCGCTGTAGACCAGCACTGCTCTACCGCTAACTGCTTGTGTTTGTTCTATTCATTCTTTTCTTTGCTCTTTCTTATCAACTGCACAGGCTCCCGGTGGTCATGAGCTAAAGGTAGACTATTGGGAACTGATTGGATCTGCTCCCGCCGGTGGGGTGGACACTATCTTGAACGAGGTTTGTTCCACTTGTGCGTGCCTCCTTGCATAGCTCCACTTTCTCTGTCTGATGCTCCCTTGCATAAGTTAGCTCCACGTTCTCTGTCTCATACCCTTTTGGGTAGCTCCACGTTCTCTGTCTGATGCCCCCTTTCATAGCTCCAGGTTTTCTGTGTGATGCCCCCTTGAATAGCTTCTCATTCTCTGTCTGGTGCCCATTTGGGTAGCTCCACGTTCTGTGTGTGATGCCCTCTTTCATAGCTCCAGGTTTTCTGTGTGATGTCCCCTTGAGTAGCTTCTCATTCTCTGTCTGATGCCCGTTTGGGTAGCTTCCCATTCTCTGTCTGATGACGTCCCCTTGCTTACCTCCCTGTTCTCTGTCTGTCTGTGGCTGCCATACGAGGAAATACGTTTTTTTGTGAGGGCTTTGGCATGCATGATCATGCCCCGTCTGAGCTGTCCACAGAGTAGTTGGTGTTTGTGCGTGTCTGTGTGTACACCGCTTATCGTCTTTGTGAAACACTGCGACAGTAACGGTGCTGGACCTTGACGATACTATTCTTTGATTTGATCGCTTTACTATGTAACCTCTGGAATGTCTATTCTAACATGTCTGCTTGTCTCTCTCTCTCTCTTTCTATCATTCTATCTATCTACCTATCTATCTTCTATCTCTGCGTTTGCATTATTGTTTGCAGGAGGCTGGTGTAGATATTATGCTTGACAACCGACATATGGTCTTGCGTGGTGACACGGTAAGCACATCACCAACTGGCGTCACTAGTGCTTCTTTATGGCATTGCCTAGTGCCTAGGGATTTCCCCCTCCTCCTCCTCCTCTTGCCTTGTTTTCCTGGGTCCTGGTATCTGGAGCTTACTTGATGTCAGTTGCCGGGGGGTTCAGTTCATTATAGGTACGGCGCCACTGGTGTGGCAATGGCCGCACCAAGGTTTACGAAATCCAACATTCATGGAATGTCCGGTGTGCAATTTAAAACTATGTAGAAGTACCCTAATATCAAGAGTACGTAATCCCCCAGAGTGTGCAACGCCTGATCCATCTCTGCATAGGGTCTTGGTCGAGCGTAATCGGATCTTCTGATGTCATGCGTACACTCCACACCAGCGCAAGGCCGGTCTCGAGGCAGGGCACCGTTGTTTTTGATCCGAGAGTACCCGCGACTCCCCGGGCTCCCCTCAGATATGTGCGGTATTATGACGCAAAGATCCGATTACGCTCGACCAAGACCCTATGCAGAGCTGGATCAGGCGTTGCACACTCTGGGGAGTTATGTACTCTTGCTAATATGCTATTCTTGCACACTCCTCACTACATTCTGTCCCTCATAAATTACTCTTCCTGTTCAGCGGGAACTATGCTAGCTGCATTTCTGTTGCCAACGGAATGTGCAGTTAAAACGGACAGATCAATATGATTCACTGAGCTCCCGGTGCATCCTCCTCTGATACTGAAATTGAGGAGGGAGAAATCTAATGTGTGCTGTAGTCACCATAGGGTCATACCACCACCATCATCTTTCCCACCACCACCACCACCACTCAGGGCCTGGCTTGAGGCATGCATTTTGCCATTGTGCTCTGCTCTGTTTAGTTAATGGTATAGCTGTTTGATCCAGCTCAATGTCGTAGCTTTCTTTCTTCACTCTCTTTTTCATGCCGCTTCTGATGTACAGACATCGAGCATCCTCAAGGTTCGCTCTGTCGTCATGCAATGGTATGTGTGCGGGTAGCTGTGGTTCTACCCTGTTTGTTGTTTACTGCCTGTCTTGTACCCAATACTCCGCAGGGTGTCCACCGTTCTTTGAAAACCTGTGTCGCACCTTAGGGCAAGCGTTTGCCGCTTTCACCATAGCCCTGTCCAGTGTCAGAGTGCAGATGTTGCTACTCTCACTGCTACCAGCCTCTATTCTCAATGCAGTGTGGGATGTCCAGAAAGGACCACACTCACTGTCCGCATACTGAATGCTGATGTGATGTTATGCTTGTTGTGCTGCGTTTGGCAAATTTTGCAGGCCTTGTACGTACACCTGGATGTTTATATTAGGGGTGTCAACGGGTAGTAGGGTACCCGTGCTACCCGTAATTAGAGCGGGTATTCGGTTAGCTGTTTGCTCCTGAGAACCCGATAGGGTAGTGGGAGTACGGTGTTTTCGCGATGGTGCACGTAAAAAGCACGGCTACGTGCTTACTGCACACTTTCCATGTAGCGCAAGTGCTCACTCACTGTACAAACGATGTCAAAAATACCCGATAGGGCACCCGTGCTACCCGGATAGAAATACCCGAACTCGTTACCCGACCAAACCCCTACCGTTGCATCCCTAGTTTATATTTTGGCTTTTGCTTTCCCTACTAGAACGTTAGGCTATTCCACTGTATAACCGGAAGCAATGAAGATAGTTTTCTCATCCCACGTATCTTATCAATCAAGCGAGAACAGGAAACCCCCTCGGCAGGCGACCAGCCTTTGGGGAATCCTTAAATTTAATAAAAAAATAAATACTTGAGATGACCGAACAGCCTTTGGGGAATCCTTAAATTTAATAATAAAATAAATACTTTTGAGATGACTGGTGCAGTGCTTGTTGGATGTTCATGTACTTGAAAAAAAAAGTACTACATGACATTGTACACTTGCTGAACTGCAATTGTCATTGCCACGCAGTTGTTCAGTTGCAGCGTGTGGAAAGCTCTGCAGGTGTGCCTCTTCTCGTTTGCTTATCCGTCCACTTTCCCTGTGTGTGGCTGCTCTGTGCTATGCGTGTGTTGCGACAGCTTCCGTTCGCATTACTTTGACCGTGGATACTTCGAGGTCAGCCCGCCCACACTTGTCCAGACGCAGGTAGAAGGCGGCGCCACGCTATTCAAACTCAACTATTTCGGCGAGGAGGTAAGCAGACAGGTGGACTGGGTCGCAGTGTTTGTGTGCCCACCATGCATACCTGATGAGGCCAATTTTGCCAAAACGTAATAGTTGATAAACGAGCTTGATTTTGCAGAGGGAATGGGAGAGAGTGGGTCTGCTCTAAGAACAACATCTTCCATGGCTATGCAAAGAGTGCATTCTGCATGCATGCAAGGGACACATTCCGCTTTGTTGGGTGTGCACGCATGCGTATCGGTCACCTGGCAGACATCTCTATTTGCCGAATCGACAGTGACATTGCGCACTACTGACTGGAGGTCTACTCAGAATACTGAATGCCATGTCAATCGCTCAGGCTTGCACGTGTTCTGTGAATGGATGCTGCCACCTGTCAAGCTGGCATGCACTCCCGTCACTTTATGTGTCACGTAGACAGCTTTCAGTAGTGTGCTCGCATTGGTGGTTCAGTGGTAGAATCCTCGCCTGCCACGCGGGGGGCCCGGGTTCGATTCCCGGCCAATGCATTTTTTCTTCTTTTTTTCTTGGGTAGATGTTGGCTTTGTATGCTGTGCACAAGTTAGTTGACCTTGCTTGTAGTTTGTACAAGTATTAGTTGGCTTTGCTTGTGTTTTATACAAGTTGGTTTTTGCTTGTGTTTTGTACAATTTGGCTTTTGCTTTGTTTTGTACAAGTTTCTATAATAATAGTTGGCTTTGCTTGTGTTTTGTTAACCCTTTGCATGCTGAGCCCCTTTTCTCCTATCCACTGGCTTTCCAGCGCACTGACTCTCTTAGTGGAGTATGCACTCACAGCTCCGAACGAAATTTATTCTCATTTCACTCCACCTTGATGGATTTTCATCGTCCTGGGCTCGTTGGAAAGATCAGGACCAAGCGAATCCATCCTGGCAGCTCTCAGCTCCATAGACACATCAGGGCCACTTCCACGTCCTCTCCAAACTACTCCACCGTGCCCCGGAACGGCACAGCAACTCAATTTCACATTCTTCTTCGGATTCTTGCCCAAATTCAACAGATTTTCACAATTCAAACTGCGCTGCAAAGCTCAGATCCAAGCGCTTCATTTGATGTCCATCACGCATGCGCCGTGCCAAAGGGAAATCCCCTGGCACGCTCCTCAACAAAAAGAAGTAATGAAGTTGAACAAAAAAATCGCGTTCACTCTGGGCCGTGATTTCCGTGTTCATCTTGTTGCCGCTCAATGAATTCTTATCCTATCGCGAAGAACTTTATATCCCCGGAAAGCTAAGGTCAAAAATTTTCCAACGATGTATTGATTGTCACGATGCGTTTATGTTTGACGAAGTTACGAAAGTTTGCACACTGGTCTATGCACTGCGATGTATCGCGCGATTTTTTTGCGAGTTAACTCATACGTAGTGGATCAGGTCATGCATAAAGTGCGAGTTAACTCGTACTCAGCACGCAAAGGGTTAACGTTGGTTTTTCCTGTGTTGTGTATTTGTAGGCATATCTGACGCAATCGTCACAACTGTACCTGGAAACTGTCTTGCCTGCCATGGGCGATGTCTTCTCCATAGCCCAGTCCTATCGTGCCGAGAAGGCGAGAACACGTCGCCACTTGTCAGAGTAAGTTGTGTGTGTGTGTGTGTGTGTGTGTGTGTGTGGTTGTGTGTGTGGTTGTGTGTGTGTGTGGTTGTGTGTGTATGTGTGTGTGTGTGTGTGTGTGTGTGTGTGTGTGTGTGTGTGTGTGTGTGTGTGTGTGTGTGTGTGTAAAGACCAAAAAGTAGGGATTCACTGGCCAGAAAAAAGCCACTTCAAAGCTGTGTGGTGTAGACCAGGCTGAATAGTGGTGGTCAATTCTTCAGCCTTGCAAGCTGTTGAATGGTGCAATCCCAGCACAAGTTGCTATGGCTTCTGCTGTAGCATCGCTATCATCGCCTCTGGCGATGGGCGTCCAATGGTCAATGGTCAATGGTGTGTGTGTGTGTGTGGTGTGCGTCTGTGTGTGTATGTGTGGTGTGTATCTGTGTGCGCCTGTGTGTGTGTGTGTCTGTGTGCGTATGTGTGTGTGTGTGTGTGTTTGTTTGTTTGTGTTCGTGTGTCTGTCTGTCTGTGCGTGCGTGCATACTTAGTTGCTATTGCATCAACAGCAAGGCTGCATGTGATGGTGCTGCTGCTGAAATCAGCACTGAATGTCCTTTCTAAGTCTCAGACTTACTCTGTGGAATTAGTGCTGACAATTTGTGTAGGCATGTATTATTGGAAAGTGGAAAAATGGGATGCAGGGTAACTTTTTCCCATGCCCCCCCCCCCCCCCCCCCCCCACACACACACCCTACTATTTTGACCTGGCTAGAACCCTGATTTTACCGAATCCGGTCTGGACCTCGCCGTCACAACGCAGGCTGCAGTCTTTCTCACTCTCTATGGGAATTCCCCTATTCGCTATGCGTACCAAGTACTCACTGCTTTACGGCCACTCTTCTAAAGCGGCAGTTTGTCTTGTGTGTGTGTATGTGTGTGTGGGGGTGGGTGTGTGTCCCATATGGTGCAGTGGTATGTGCAGTCGATTTCCAATCGAGAGGTTGCGGGTTCAATTCCCGACGATTATGGTCGCACACGTCTTTCTTCTCTTTCTCGGTCTCTTCCTGACTTTTCTTTCATTCTCCTGGGTGGTTACCAACAGTCAGTGTATGCCGGAGTATGTGGTGTGGTGTGTGTGTGTAGAAAAAAAAGAAAAGAAAAAAGAAAGAAAAATGGAAAAATGAAAAATAGGGATTCACTGGCCAGAAAAAGTCACTTCAATCAGCTGTGTGGTGGATACCAGGCTAAAAATAGTGGCGGTCAATTCATCAGCCTTGCAAGCTGTTGAATGGTGTAATCCCAGCACAAGTTGCTATGTCTAACATAGCTGTTCGCTATCATCGCTTCCGCGATGGGCAGGTCTGAGGTCTGAGGTGTGTTCCTCTAGAACATACAAGTAGTTCCATTGCACATGTCCTGTATTATGACATGCACTGTTGTGCTGTTACGTCGGCTACTGCTTCTGCATGAATCTTCATCATCGTAATGTTAGTGCTGTGATCGTCAATGTTGGCTTCCATTTTTGTGTTGCGTTGTGTGGTGCTGTGTGTGTAGGTATACTCATATCGAGGGTGAGTGCCCATTCATCAAATTTGAAGACCTGCTGGACAGAATTGAGGACCTGGTGAGTCTAAGCGCTGTTGAGTGTTGTCTCTGCAGTGATGTGTTGCTGTCCTGCTTGTTTCCACTCCTTCGGAAATGATGCTGTGACTGGGTGTGGGTGTGGGAGTGGGTGGGTGTGATGGAGGGGAGGCTGACAAGACACGTGTTATGCTGTGTAGTGCAGATCCACCTAGATATCAGTGCTCAGTTCTTCAGCCTTGCATTCTGCTCAGTGGCACAACCCCAGCACAAGCTGCTTCTGTATATTACTGCCACCCGCCATGGATATATCGCGCGCGTGTGTGTGTGTGTGTGTTGCATGCGTGTGTATGTTTGTGTGTGCGTGTGTGTGTGCATGTGTGTGCGTGCGTAATCCCTCTCCTGGACAGGTTGCTGATGTAGCAAAGCGTGCCGTTGAGTCACCGTTTCGCAAGCTGATCTTGGATCTGAACCCTGTGAGTGGCACTTAAACGCATGCGAAATGAACTATTCCATGGCTCCGTGCTGTAATATATCCGCATGTTGACTTTTCATCCCAGGCACCTTGCTTGTGAAAGGTTGGATTCTTGTGGGTTCGCTGACAAAGTTATCTCTTCTCCGTGGGCGGGTGGGGCTTGTGGCCAAGTGGTGGTGGTGTCATGAATGAACGGTTCACGTTTTGTGGAGGACGACGGCTCGAGTTGAGTCTAAATATTATGTTATTTTCGTACTGTGGTCACTCTGAATACAGTACAGTAGTGCATGTGTAATGCTATGATGTCATGAATACAGGTGTAAGAGGTACACAGTAGTGCATGTGTAATGCTATGATGTCATGAATACACGTGTAAGAGGTACACAGTAGTGCATGTGTAATGCTATGATGTCATGAATACACGTGTAAGAGGTACACAGTAGTGCATGTGTAATGCTATGATGGCATGAATACACGTGTAAGAGGTACACAGTAGTGCATGTGTAATGCTATGATGGCATGAATACACGTGTAAGAGGTACACAGCGTTTGACAAAGCCCCTATGCAGAGCTGGATCAGGCGTTGCACACTCTGGGGGGTTATGTACTCTTGGTTTCAGTTATAACTTGGAATTAGGACAGGACAAGGACACAGCAATTGAATGTGCTGTGTCGTTTGCCTGCACCAACTTTGAACTAGATGCCTAGGGTTTCCTTTCAAAGCTAGCGGATACTAGTACAGCATTGTTACTTAGTAAGTCAATCCTCATCTGCTTGTTTCCTTGCTACTCAGGACTTCAAGCCACCACAGAAACCATTCAAGTAAGTGTGTGTGCTTGCAAGCTAGTTTCACACTGGCGGTTAGGTTTTCATAGCTCTGCCTTTCACGATACGCTCCAGCACCGAGCGAAAAAGGTCAAGCTGCCCCTGCCTCTCCCCCACTCCTGCCATTCCATATGTCTCATCACTGCCTTGGTGCTTTATGCCGTCAAATGGTGTGTGGTTCTTTGTAAAAAAAATTGAAAAACTATCTGAGCACTCTTGGTGTGGGTGAGCTCCCGTGGGTACAAGCTAGCTATGCTGCTCTGCAGCCATGCTGCCTGGGTTGCTGAAGCTCCATCTTGAGGATCGTCGCGGAAGTTTTTTGTCGTCTCTGAAGCGAACATCATCCATTTCGTACTCGCACCCCCTCCCCCACCCTCCGAAATGAGTGCAGCTTACTATGCTGGGCAACGAAAATAGCATGCACGTACATGTACATGATTGTATAGTGTCGGTCGACTTGCAATGGACTTTCAACGAGCTTCTTTGTTGTCTTTTGTGTTACCAGGCGAATGGACTACAAGGATGCCATCGAGTACTGCCGGGAGCATGATATCCTCAAGGAGGACGGAACAAAGTTTGAATTTGGCGATGTGAGTTTATCGAGAGTGTGTGTGTGTGTGTGTGTGTGTGTGTGTGTGTGTGTGTGTGTGTGTGTGTGTGTGTGTGTGTGTGTGTGTCCCATATGGTGCAGTGGTATGTGCAGTCGATTTCCAATCGAGAGGTTGCGGGTTCAATTCCCGACGATTATGGTCGCACACGTCTTTCTTCTCTTTCTCGGACTCTTCCTGACTTTTCTTTCATTCTCCTGGGTGGTTACCAACAGCCAGTGTATGCCAGAGTATGTGGTGTGGTGTGTGTGTGTGTAGAAAAAATGGAAAAATGAAAAATAGGGATTCACTGGCCAGAAAAAGTCACTTCAATCAGCTGTGTGGTGGATACCAGGCTAAAAATAGTGGCGGTCAATTCATCAGCCTTGCAAGCTGTTGAATGGTGTAATCCCAGCACAAGTTGCTATGTCTAACATAGCTGTTCGCTATCATCGCTTCTGCGATGGGCATGTCTGAGGTCTGAGGTGTGTGTGTCCCATATGGTGCAGTGGTATGTGCAGTCGATTTCCAATCAAGAGGTTGCGGGTTCAATTCCCGACGATTATGGTCGAGACATGACAGACTGAAGAATTGTTACTGTCGAGCACGTTCACGCTGTGCTTCATTCATCAACCAGTGGCATGAGCATCTTGTCGAACACTTATTTGGCGGTCTAGTCCGAGCATCTGGCGAGCAAAGTGACATTTTTCTGGAATACCTTTTTTCACTCTTAGACATGTTTTAGCTGGCTGTGGCCCATATACTGCCGCGCCTGGGACCGCAGTGGTGGTGGTGGTGGTGGTGGTGGTGGTGGTGGTGGTGGTGTTATTGAGAGAAGATACTTCATAGGTTCTACAAGTACCACCGAAGTCATGGCTGCTATTTCGTACTTCTTAGTCTGTGAGTCGTTTCGACATTAGCTGAATCTAGACACGACTTCCGAGGCTAGGAAACCAGAGAGCTGGAACTGATGTGAGAGGCAGACACTGCGCTGCATGTGAGGGTGCTCTACCGAAGGGAGTAAAATACCTCGATTTACGGATGGCTAAGCACAGGAAGCGTAGGTAGCATGTCTTTTCTTTCTCTGTACTAACTGACATGGCTGCCATTGTGTGTTCTTTCATTGGCTTCCAGGACATTCCGGAAGCACCCGAAAGAAAGATGACGGACATGATTGGCGAGGTGAGCAGAGCGGGGAACACAGTGTTGCACTTGTACACTAATACCACAAAGAGACATGGAAGTTAGGTTTGTAATGGGTTTTGGAAAGGTTTAGTGGTGATTTTCCCGTGTGAACCCTGATGAGAGCAGACCTCTCTAACGGATGTACCGGCTCGTATATAAACTTGCTCAGGATTGAGTTGTAATTTTACAATGTTCTGTCGTTGGGTTTGCTACGAACAGCCCATTCTTCTCTGCCGCTTCCCAGCCGAGATCAAATCGTTCTACATGCCACGATGCCCAGAGGACACGCGCGTCACCGAATCAGTAAGTGACACGCCCTGCTCAAGTTCCCTGAATTCTGGCTACGTGTACATGTACATGTACGTATGCTGCAAAATGCCTAGGTTGTCTGTGGGCACATTCAGGAACACAATGCAACGCAATATTGTGGAAAGTAAACAACAATAAGAGACGAGAGGAAAGCTTTACGATAATAATGATAATAATAAAACATAGCCTGTAAAATGTAAAGAGTTACTGAGTACAGTTATCCAGTATCCACGTCCAGGCACATTCACGTCCACGGCACATTCAGGAACCAGTACGAACTAAGTGTTTGGCTTAGACAGGTCCACTGTACATGTATTGTGTTTCCTGGTGTTTCCCGGTTTCCGGTGGATTTCCAGCGGACGTTATGTGTTTAGGAAACTCATTTCTGGTTGTGCGTATACGTGTGTGTGTGTGTGTCTGCGTGTGTCCGTGTGTGTGTGTGTGTGTGTGTGTGTGTCTGCATGTGTTTCGGTGCTATCCAATGTTGTAGGTTGACCTGCTGATGCCTGGAGTTGGAGAAATTGTTGGCGGCTCCATGAGAATATGGGACTTTGTAAGCAGCAGGTTTGGTGTACACTTGCGTATATACCATAACATTTTCCGTAGTATAAGCAACACTTTAACCTTTCAAGTCCTAACGTACGGATGTATCCGTACCGGTATGCAGAGTATACCGGAGTATACCGAGTTCAAACTTTCGTACCTTCGCGAATACTTGATCGAATTGCCCCATCAAAAGGTCTATCGGCATGAGGAAACTCTCAGCTGGCGTCTCGAAGAAACCCGAACGCGACCCGAGGTCCTGGAGTGGAGCTATGGTGCTCGACTGAAAAGTCACGTATCAAGCTGGTTTTTTGAGCATGTCAAATGCACTTCAGCTGGGGATTTCCCCATTTATGCGCGTGCCTACTGCCTAGCCAGCCAGGTTCTATGACACAATCAGGCTACGGACATCCTGACTTCTTTGCAAAAATCCCAGCGCTCTGCGATAAATTTTGAGGGAGTTGCATCGCGCCGAGTATTCCGCTTGCAATTGACATGGCCCTGGCGCGTACGCTTGCTTCGTTCACTGTAAATTTACGTTGCTGCTCGTCATATCTACTGGAGATGTATTCCTTTTGGATATAGCTTTCCAGGAAGCCCAGGATTGTTAGAATCGACCTGGAAACGATGGAGTTATTCTACGTATCGTCGGAGAAATACAAGAACGGCGATTTTGCATTTTCTGAAAATAGTTCTAGGACTTACAGGGTTAAAGACCAGTAATAATTGACCCCACAAAGTCAGTGTGGGTTATACTACCATGGTCAAGTGAACCGTGATAATTATAGGGTAGGCACCGTGGTGTCTTGTATTAAAGCCTGTTTTGAATAGAAGCCTGATTTTCAAGATACACTGTCGGCACATACACCTGGTATTAGTATTGACACACATAGAAATATCTGGTTTGAGTAGAAACCTGATGTGAATAGAAGCCTAGCCCTTACATCGGCTTCTACAGGAATACGCCCGGCTTTAACACGCGACATTACGGTATCTGTATTTCGTGACAAAAAATCTGAGCACGGCGTATACTCCAGTGCGGCTTATACTCCGGAAAATAAGCTACTATGTATGCATGTGTTGGTTGTCCTATTCGCCTGTGAAACTTTGTGAGTATGGCTGTAAGGTGTGGGTGGTACTGGCCAGTGGATGCCATTTCTAAGAGTTGCACTGGGTACAATGAGTGTCTCGCCTGTTCGGCATAGGCTCTTGCTTGATGAGGTCCGGCTGCATGCCCAGGTTGATGTGTATGTCCTCCAACGTGTACATGTCTTCTGCTGTGCGTGTGTGTGTGTGCGCACGTGTGTGTGCGGTCGTGCGCGCGCGTGCGCACGTGTGTGCGTGCGGTCGTGCGTGGTTGTGTGTAGGACGCTCTTCTGGAGGGCTACAAGCGGGAAGGTATCGACCCAGAACCATACTATTGGTACACAGATCAGGTGAGTGAGAGAGAACGTTGTTCAATACTCCTTTCTTTTGTACTCATTGTGTACTTGTGTGTGTGGGGGGGGGGGGGGGGGGCAATACTCCTTTCTTTTTACTCATTGTGTACTTGTGTCTGTGTGTGTGTGTTTGTGTACGTGTCTGTGTGTGTCTGTGTGTGTACTAATAATACCTGTGGCCATGCCGTGCAGCGCAAGTATGGATCGTGCCCGCATGGCGGTTATGGTCTTGGCCTGGAGCGTTTCCTCACATGGATGTTGAATAGGCATCACATCCGCGACGTCTGCCTCTACCCGCGCTTCACGGAGAGATGCAGGCCATGAGTGCGTGCTGTTTGAACTGCTGAGTGGAGAGCTGCTCTCTGTACGAACTATTGCTGATCACATTCCGGTGTAAGTGAATAGTGTGTGGGATGATGATGCAATATTGCGCAATGACTTGTATCTTCATGCGATGGACGATGTACATGTCTACTCTAGACCTGTGTAATGATTCCATTCTGGGACGCTCCACTATTCTTTTCTTTCTCTCTTTGCTACAGTAGTCGTGACCGCATTGCTGATAATGGTAGCAGGTTTTTTTGCTGTTCAAACATTTCCAATTGTCAAATTACCACCGCCCGCTAGTTATGCTTTCTTTCTGTCTTCACTCATTTTCAGCTTTTTCAGCATGTGCCCCATCTGAGAGAGCCTACTCATGCCCCCCCCCCCCCCCTCACTTCCATTTTCCAGAAATTTCTCCGGTTGGATTTAACTAATAGTTTACTTCATGCATTCCTGTGGTACGACGCTTCTGGTTTCGTTCCTTTGGCCAATAGTAGAGAGATAGGGGGAGTAGAGAGATAGGCGCTGAAGCACTGGGACTGATTGTATATGTGTGTGTGGAATCAGCTGTGTGGTGTAGACCAGGCTTTCATCAGCCTTGCAAGCTGTTGAATGGTGTAGTCTCCCTGCCAGCCTTGCATGTAAATGAATGGTGTAATAATCCCTGTGTTCGCTATCATCGCTTCAGCGATGGGCATGTGATAATGTGTACACGTGTGTGATTGGAAACAATTCGCTGAAGCATTCTTATCACCTTCCGTACGTTATCGATCACATCCACTCTGTCAGCAGCCATTGAGATTGCGAAGGCCGCAGGAGCAGAGAGTGAAACAATACGGACTTACTCCCTGGTATAACCTGTGAAAACTGCTCCAGCAACACGTGTAAATCATTACTCAAGATGCAGTTGTGATTACTCAAGATTCAGGGCCTAACTCAAGCAAAGCAAAGAAACATAATTTTAATGTCAACGGAATCTCAATGTTCCCTCCCATTCAATGATAGTCTTGTTTCGCCAACGGCATATATAGCAGGCCCAGCGGATTAGCAATTTAGTCATCAATGTTCACACGCACGGTTCGTGGCAATTATGTAGCGGTCAATGTCCTGCAGATTTAGCCTTAGTTGATTTGAGTCCATTCTCAGATCGAGCCATTCGTAGTCATGATGGCAGTTCTTGATAATCGTAGAGTTTTCTGACACCTGTGTGGTAAGGCTGTGGCTCACGGCAAGTCCAACAGTATGTGTCTCAAGCTCCATGCTGCTGCACCGTATATATGTGTAGCAGACATTGGGCAGCACTTGCGATACGGACCCCCCAGAGCACAGTCGTTTCCACTTCTATACGGTGTGATGAAGGTGTAGGGACTTTGAGAAACAGCACAGGCAGCAAGATACTCCACCTATGCTGGTCACGTCTCTGCCATGGGCTATCGGACACAGCTGTTGAGATGAATCTCAGGTTCCAGAAGACGGACATTCTCCCTCAGGCTTGATCAGCAGCAATCCTTTTAAGGACGACATTGGTAATTGCTCAAGTACTGATCGGAAGCTTCAAATGGCCGTGGAAGCTGCTTGTGCCGCCCTGAAGAGGTGTCAATATGTAACCGTAAGCCTGTTGCGGAGATGTAACCGCCAGTGTGTTGTCGAGATATAACAGTCAGCCTTACACACACACACACACACACACACACACACACACACACACACACACACACACACACACACACACACACACACACACACACACACTGAGAGCTGTGTCCTGCGAGAGATCAGATGGGCCGTACCATAGTGCCATCATTCGCTGCTGAAGCACTGCGGTACGAATCGCAACGTTCGCCGGCCAACGCGATTGGACCAGTCCAGCACCAGGTCCTCCCGGGTGACGGTGAACTGCTTGGCGGTGATGTCATCCTTGCCGGTAATGAGGTAATCATCTGCACGGCATCATAGTACCCACAATGAAAGAGAAGAGAGCGGTGTTCAAAGGGGACAGCTGCAAGGAGTGGACATGCTAATAGAATACTTTACTAGTAAAATTAATGCTCTTCTTCCCGCACGCATGCACACGTGCACACACACACACACACGTGCGCGCGTACACACACACACACATGTTCACACCAGCCTGCCGGGAACTCTGCCAAGACACATGCTAACGGTATGACCTCGGCCTCACCAGGCATCTCATTCTCCGACGAGCAAGCCACTAGAGAGCAAAGGCAGATCTCACATGAAACTGACACAAGCCAAAATGCATGTACTTCAAGTAGAGTGGAATTCTGATACAGTGTAACGTGTACCCGACAGGAAACCGGAAAGTCCAATACTTAGTACAGTCAGATCTCTCTTAACCGCACACATCCGTTTTCAACAAAAATATCCGGATAGGCGAGGGAACCGGTTAATCGAACACACATATCATAATTATCATGGCATATGCTGTAAATCGGTAGCCAACGATTTTCTTCCAGATGGCGAGGGATCCGATAAAAGAGGACCGGATAAGCGAGGTCTGACTGTACTGTAAAACGGTTAATCTTAGTGACGGTGATATTCTAGCAACTTTAGCGAAAGGAGTGTTTTCGCCAAAGTTTTTCCGCGCCAATTGAAAACTCGCATGTACAGCACAGTTCTAGACATCCTTCTTTTTTAAGTCTGAAACTCGGATTGCTAGAATATTGATTTTCATTGCGAATTGGTCCAGATTCAGAAAACGCTAAAAAAACTGTACCCGCTAGAATTAGCCGTTCTACAGTATTCAAGGTACTGCTTATCTAAACCGACTACAGTCTGGATTAGCAATACACCTGCAGCACGGACAATATCCGTATCAGTGGAATACAGTACTGCCGGGCGGCCGAAGAGCGATCAGGCTAGAATTTCACCAAGCACACCATGCAGATGCACGCTGACTCAACTGTGCACGGACTATAACACATGGAAATGAGAACGCTCTAGGCTATGAAGCTGACCGCCCAGTTCTTCGGCGACCGACGGTACTATAGTGAGTGGAGTTAGAGAGTCCTAAGCCGCGGGTTACTTACGTCCTGGGTGTATTGTTCTACACAGACATGGTCTGGATACGAAATTCAGTGTGGAGTGCTGTAACAGAACAACACACCACGCACACACACACACACACACACACACATACACACACACACACACACACAGTGACGCGGGTCGTCAGGATATGAACGGAATTCATCTACACAGGATTTGGGCCGTCAAACTCCCAGGATGACCGTCACGGGTTTACAGCAGACCCTGCATGGCTTCTCGAGTGTCCAATGTAAACCAGATTGGCTGGCGGTGTTGAACCTATTTATGGGCAGTTGGCGTGAATATGCCCGGACTAGATGCACACATGATAATTATAGATCCGACGGGAGAGGATCCACTAACATCACCCAATCCATAGCAGTGGCATGTGAAATCTGGACTGATAAACTGTGGCAGTGCAGTGGATCAACTTTCGAGTACCTGGTGTATGGATGCGGGTGTATTACCGGTCTGCATTTCACTTGCCACAACCATGCCTCACGCATCCACACACACACACACACACCTACGGAAAACCTGTCAAAGTGACCACTCTTGAAAAAGCGAATCTGTCCCAGAGGACCAGTACAACTAACACCAAGGGATGCTATTTCCAGTCAAATGACGTCACTGGAGAAGGCAACCATCTGTACATTGGGACCACTTTTCCAAGGTACCTGGGGGGGGGGGGGGGGTTAGACAGGTTTCACCGTACATGGGGACCACTTTTCCAAGGTACCTGGGGGGGGGGGGGGGGGTTAGACAGGTTTCACCGTACATGGGGACCACTTTTCCAAGGTACCTGGGGGGGGGGGGGGTTAGACAGGTTTCACCGTACATGGCCCGTCATGGGGACCACTTTTCCAAGGTACCTGGGGGGGGGGGGGGGTTAGACAGGTTTCACTGTACATGGGGACCACTTTTCCAAGGTACCTGGGGGGGGGGGGGGGGGTTAGACAGGTTTCACCGTACATGGCCCGTCATGGGGACCACTTTTCCAAGGTACCTGGGGGGGGGGGGGGGGGGAGGGGGTTAGACAGGTTTCACTGTACATGCATGCACACAGAAGCACACCGTCGTGCATCGTTATCACTCACCATTGTGTTCTCCAGGTAGATATTGGTGATGTTCGGTGCAGACAGTGCTGGTAAGTGCTTGAGACGGTACACTACCAGCACTTGCACAGACTGGCGGTTATTGAACGAGGACACGGCGCGAACCTTGAAAACTGTAAACACGAAAGATGTGGAAGAGACGAGGAGATGGGTGGGAGGAGGTACCGAGAGAGGGAGAGAGAAAGATAGACAGAGACAGACAGACGGACAGACACACACACACACGCACACACACACACACACACACACACACACACACACACACACACACACACACACACACAGGGAGGGAGAGGAAATGGACATACACTGTTGTACACTCATATTCAGCTTGGCCACTTCTTCGTAGCAGCACTGCAGGGATATGTTCTGCTGCTTGCTTTCAACTACAGGGGACGTGTTTTAGATCTAAGCCCTCACCACTAGGCGTGTGTGTGTTTGTGTGTGGGTGGAGGGGGGGGGGGAAGCTGTGAGGGGCGATTTGATGGCCAGTTGCAACACATGCAAAACAGGTATTCACTTGTGCCGTCTAGCTACCAGTCTATACGAGTACTTGTGACCTACTGTGTGGACATCAACACCTCCTCTAGCAAGCCAAGCATTCATCACAGCAGATGATGTAGTGCAGTGGCGAGCGATGGCGGGTGCATTCTACCTCTAAGATACCACCACCTTCAAAATATCCCTCTTTCTCCTCCCCACCCCCCCCCCCCCTGCATACCCGCGTCTTGGGTCCCAATTGCACAATGTGACGTATTGCTTACCAAAGTCGCTTGCACATATTCGCTCGGCGGTGAGAATGTCCCGCTTGAACGAGGTGTGGGTCGTGTTGTATCGCCTGCACGCCGCACACGCATCTGTGAGTGTGGGTAGGCAGAGCATTGGAAATGAAGAAAAGGAAAACAGCCGGCAATGATGTCAGGTCAGGTCGGGGGGGGGGGGGGGGGAGCAGTAGCACCCACACTTTACAAATCTCAAGGCACATAACTATACAGAGAGTTTTAATACCAAACCATTTTCATGTCAAATATACGGGCGAGTAGCTCGTGTATAACTAGTACTGAAGTAGTCGGCGTAGTCCGGTTACCACGCCAACCAATGGATGTTTTACTCACTACTAGCAGCAAGAGTGCATAAACAAGAGTATGCAACTGTGGTTATGGGTCAGTGCGTGGCATGCTGCCTTCATTCGTAACTTGCCTTCATCGCGCTCTGAAAGCATGCACCAGTCAAACCCGAAATTTCTCGTACGAGTCCATTGGTTTTTGCCCAAATCGTTCCAGTACCTACGGAATCTCTAAATGTTGGCGCGTGAACTCCAGTTCCGTACGAAAGTTCATTTCGAACCAGAGGGAAAGTGCGGTGTTTGTTTTCCGCTGTGCTCGGACTGCAGCTGGATGATGTAATAAAGACAGCGCGCCGCGCATCTGGCCCATAGAAAAGAGATCACAGTTGCATACTCTTGTTTATCGACTCTTGCTAGTACTGCACAAGTACAAATTTTCGTTCGCGAAATCTTTTCGTTAGATCACTCCACCAGCAGGTTCGTTACGTACTAAATTTCGTTTTTGGTGGAGGTCTGTCACCCCGAACGTTCAGAACAAAAACTTTAGTTTCGGGTGAAAACTTTAGTTATTTCGTGCCCCCGACTGTCACTGTACTGTATGTGCTAGTTTCAGTAATCATGGCCAATGATAAATGCAGGTCGTTCGGTTTCTGTACCTCGTACTTGGTCGACTGGCGGGAACCGGTTGGTTGGGCGGCGAAGGTCTGAGCTTTGGTCCGGCGAGGTGCGACTTCTCTGATCAGACGACTTGGTGAGCATTCTGCCGTGGTCCAGGCGCTGCACCGGCTGCGGGTGGACGTGGCGCTGCTGGAGGCTGCTCAGCTGCGTGCGGTCACGGCGATCGCGAGAGTGCCCGTTGGAAAGCTGCGGCGGCGGCGGAGGTGCTTGCGTGCTGCGTTGCCGTGGCGCCGCGGTCGTCGTGTGCTCCGCGGGCTGACGGGCATCAACAGCGTCTGGGTGTGAGGTCGACGGCGCGGCCGCTCGAGTAGCCGGTCGTCCGGCGGGATTACCGGCATTCGAGAAAATTTTGAAACCTGTTGGTTTACGCAGCAGTAAACACAGACCAACTAATATTAGTGCCATGATTCGAACTCCCGCCCATGCGGAGGTACAAATAGCAAAATGTGATAATTATATTAAAGTTGATTATTGCAGAAGAGAAGAGTGAGACGAGCGAGAACAGTGGGAAGAGGAGGGGATGTAGAAAAGGAGACTGATACAGCAATGCCTTAAGCATACACCAGGAAATATCATGGATGACGGGGAAGGTGACAAGTGGAAGCGAAAGGTGCAGACATTACGGCAATCTTCACTATCTCTGTAGGACTGATGCAGCAACCAATGCTAGGCAGTAGAAACAATGTATTGTTTTGGGACGTGCAAAGCCTACTAGGATTCAACTAGCCACAGTCGTCGCCCAAAAGTAATCCGGCCAATGTCGATACAGTGGTATGGTAAGTAGACATGGCGGTGCCACACGGTACCATTCGTGCTTTTACCAGTGTTCATTGTAGATCTACTAGCACTGCACCGCGGCACTGCACTGAACTGTATGCAGCAGCTATGTACATCATGCCCAGGCACGCAGCCGGCATGGGCATGGAGGGGGGGGGGGGACGTCCCCCCCCCCCCCAATATTTCCATGTAGGTTCAGCAAGCACATAATGACGATGAATGACATGCACCAGCCATCCTACACATATGCGGCCATGCACCCCCCCCCCCCCAAAAAGGGGACCAGATACGTACATGATACCAGCAGGCATGCGCAGTGCTAGACTACCCGATGATGACAGCTTTGGCCGGATTGTTTTGACCACGACCGTGTAGAATCAAAACAATGTCTTTTTCTTCACAGAGCCAATCCTTACTTTCTATGTCCATACAGAACGTCTCCACTCTTCTACCGTACGCTATGTGTACCAGGCAGATCATCCTTTGTTGACAGCGCATCCTCTCCGCCTGCGCCTGCATGTTGGCATGGCACAGAGCAGCAGAACAAGTACATGACATGTATCAGGTGCGTAGCACCGCCGTTGGAGGTGGACCGGGGGGAGGGGGGAGGGGGGGGGGGGGGGTTGGGGGTGTCCCGCGGGGAACATTTTGAAATTAGGGTGCAAAATCCCGCATTCTGGGCACTTTTTCGTGGTCGGGCGAAATAGTGGTCCGTGGTGCGGCCGAAGCCGGACCGGCTGCTACGCCCCTGTGTATGATGGTTTAAGCCACATATCTAGTGTTTCTATAAAATAGGGGGCTAATCAGGAGAGGGACAGGGGGGGGGGGGGGGGGGTTAAGCGTGTCTGTGGGGAAGGGGTGGTGAGGGGGTGTTGAACAATGCATCTCGTCTCCTCATTGCCAATCCAGTCTTGTTTACTGTTTCTTAACTTCGTTTGAATTGGCAGAGCAACCAGAAAGAGATGTCCAGTGGTAACTAAACAAGTACAGCAGGAACACCGTAAACATTCCTCGCCTTCACTTTCCTCTGTGCTCACCTTCACGTTCCTCTGTGCTCGCAAGTCGTGAACTAGAGCTAGAATAATAGTTTCCTGGTTTCTAGTACTAGTGCTCAGGACTACACACACACACACATATCCACTACAATACACTACAGCTGCTGAATGAAATCCGATGGAGCGAGCGAATGCCATGCCGGGCGCTGTGCAGCCCTAGGCCTGCGAACACTGGGATGGTGAGCTGGTGCAGGGGGCGCGGACTTCTAATGCACGCGATCGGATTTCATTGAGCAGAGCTGTAGCATAGCAGAATACTAGCCAGTGATCATGCAGCCGCAAGACTTACCGGCGAGCATTCCTTGTAGACTGGCATTGCTGAGCATACTTGATACATGGCTGTGCATGCACACACACACACACACACACAAGACACCAAAGCAGAGCTGAAGCAAGTCTGGAATGGAATGAGAGGGACATGGAGTAAGCATTATATCATTATGATGAGAGGGGGGGGGGGGAAGAGAGGAAGGGAGTCAGTATAGTCATCTGATCAAGTGCTAGTAGATTTCTTCAGCTACAATAAAAAAAAATGGAAATGAAAACTGCCCCCCCCCCCCCCCCCTTGTTGTGCCTTCCCAGTCAGTCAGGATAAGGACAAAACACAGTGACACACTGGTACTACAGCCAGCGTGCATGCTTGCTGATCCCAGGGCGACACAACTGCAGCCCCGTGTGTTCCCCCGCATACAGTTCAGTGTGCTGTGAGTACTTTTCTCAGTC